GTGCTCGTGCACATGACAGATGCTTGTCAATGTCTGTGTTTTGTTTATGTATTTGCATACATATACTTATGTATACTTACATATAGGTATGTGTTTATATGCCTGTAAGTGCAGCTTTATGTGTGTTTAATTTTGGGGGGATTAGTGATTGCACCATCTCTAAATTTGACCTGTATTATTGAATGATTGAAGATTTCATTTGCGGCAAAAGAGATTGATTTGTTAGAATGGAAAGGCGACATACTTGCAGTAGGCACAACAGAGACGGACATGACCAAGGATGAGAATTTAAAGTTCAAGAGTTTAATCCTGCAAAAGCTAGATTCTCAATTAGGTGGTTTGTTGTCTGAAGCATCATCAGAGGAGGATTTTACTGGAAAGGCTGGACAGTCAACTGTTCTTAGGCTGCCCAATCTTGGATTGAAAACGGTATGTCTAATTAGTCTTGGATCAGCGACATCAGCAACTGATGCATATCGCAGTCTTGGTGAGGCTGTTTCTGCAGCAGCTAAGTCTCCTCAGGCAAGTAATGTTGCCATCACACTTGCTGCTTCTGGAGAGCTTACTACAGAATCAAAGCTAAGCTTTGCTTCAGCCATAGCTACTGGTACTTTTCTTAGATTACTTCTTTTTCATTTGACCACAACATCAGTTTGTTGCTACTTCATTAAATTAATATTGGGGGAATGTCTCAAATGCCAAAGGAGCTGTACTGGGGACTTATGAAGACAACAGATTCAAGCAGAGTCGAAGAAACAGGGTCTCAAATCAGTGGATATTCTTGGTCTTGGCACTGGATGTGAAATAGAAAAGAAACTCAAATATGCAGAAGAGATTTGTTCTGGGATAATTTTTGGAAAAGAGCTAGTAAATGCATCTGCTAATGTACTCACCCCTGGTTAGTTATCTTTCTTATTGTCCTATTTCTTTTTTTGATTACTTTACGTTACTAGTGAAAGAGTAATTATCGCGGAAAGTTGTTTGGGTATAATCAAGGTGGGATCATTTTTCCTATGACCTTTTAAATTGTACATTTCTTTATTGCCTCAGTCTCTTCACGGGGTAAAATATGCGTTATCTTGTTATTTTGGTTAATTGGATATGTTAGGCAGAAGAGGCCAAAAGGATTGCTTCTGAGCACGGTGATGTTCTTTCTGCAACAATCTTGGATGTAGAGCAATGCAAAGAATTAAAAATGGGTTCTTATCTCGGTGTTGCAGCAGCATCTGCTAATCCTCCTCATTTTATCCACTTATGTTACAGGCCTCCATGGGGAGCAGTCAAAACCAAGCTGGCCTTAGTTGGAAAGGGGTTGACGTTTGACAGGTGAATAAAAATGTATTACCAAATACTTACATTTTAAGGGATGCCTTCTGAAATCTGGTTGAAATGAAATACATTTATTTCGTTTCATGGGGGTCCTCAGTAGTGCAAAATCTTCTGAAATTTTCCTCTTTTATGTTCCTGTGGTGGCTACAATATCAAGACAGGACCAGGTTGTTCCATTGAGCTCATGAAATTAGACATGGGAGGTTCAGTAGCCATATTGGGTGCAGCAAAGGCTCTTGGTCAAATTAAGCCAGCTGGAGTAGAGGTGACTCATTTCTTTTTCTTGTTATTGTTTCAAGAACGACGTGCTGGTTATGGACTCGATTCATTTTCACATTATGGTCGTCTTATTCTCGTTTCATCCCACTGTACTGTTAGTTAAAATATCTATTAATCATGTCTCAGTTAACATATTTAGAGATTGATCGGAAAACCTGGTAATGAGTGATATTTATGCAGGTTCATTTCATTGTTGCAGCTTGTGAAAATATGATAAGTGGAACAGGTATGAGACCCGGAGATGTTATTACAGCATCAAATGGAAAGACAATTGAGGTAATTTCTTCATTTTGCTATAGGATAATCCTGTGTGATTAATTCTTAGTTAATTTTGTGAATATTTTCTTTTGAATGTTCATGCTCTCAATTGCAAAAGGTAAAACTCTTCGCTTAGTTTTTCTCTTTAATGTATTGTGCTACACAATATTTATTCTCACAACTCATATTAGATGATCTGTAATGAGACTGGATGTTATGAGGTTTAAATTTTCTGCATATTTTTTTTAAAACATTCATTCTATTGATAAAAATGAAAATGTAACAAAATCTTTCTTCTCAGTTTTTTTATACATTTTTTTATCCTCGCAACTGAAATTAGATGTATCTGCACAATGAATCTGGATTTGGTTTCAACATGCAGGTAGAATTTAAAGTTTTAACTTTTAACATTCAGTTTAATATTGTTGAACAATCCTGTCATCTGGCAGAAGCTCTTACGTGTTACTCAGTCAATGTCTGCGTTGCATGTAAATTTCTATGCTCTTACATCTTTTTTAAAGCACACCCCTTTCCTTTTCCGCTTTGTGTTCCTCATTTGCAATTCCCCCTGTTCATGACATTTCCACCAAGTAGAATGGAAAAAAAACAGAAAGTTAGGATCTCTTTACTCCATTTATAACTATCCTTGCAGTTATTAGGATTCTTTTTTGTATATATATGATGCTTTTTTTTGACACGTGCTGGGATGTGTGTGCAATAAATCTTTTAACCAATCGCTAGAGAAGATGTTTACATCGGCATTTGGCGTTTAAATACTTAGGAATATTTCATTGTGCATGTTAACACTTTATGTTACGAAGAACTATGTTACCCCATTGTATCAATGAAAATTGTTCGGAAAAAATGCTTTTATTATGTTTGGATATCTCAAATTCGAAGATTTAATGAATTTGCACTAACACCTGTCCTTAAAACATTTCTATAATTCATCCTGAGCCAGTTATGCTACTATATAGTTTTTCGGATTCCAGTGTTAAGTTCTGTTATGACCTGTCTTCTTTAATAGTTTGGCATTGTATCTCCCATTAATTGTAGAATGATGTACTAGACAGAAGTTGCTTTATTGTTGCATGTGGTATGGTTTTAATTGCACGTCTATCTGATAATTAAAAAGCTGACTTAGAGGATGTTTGGTGGGGATTAAAATTAGATTTTTTAGTAGATTGCGATAGAAGTTTTTGAAATGTGTTGTTGAAAAATTGTGAGACCAATGAAAAATGTGGTTAATATTTAACTTTGACTTATATTAAAATCATATTTTAATCCTAACCAAACAGGCTCTTAGACTAAAATTTTCTGATAAGTGAATAAATTTCAAAATAAATAATTCTATTCGTGGTATAAGTTGGAAATAACTAAGTATTTACTTTGTCACTAAGGTAAGACTTACTTCCAAAAGGTAACTTTTTTTTACTTGGAAGTAAGAAAAAAGTAGGTTATTCAAACATGTTTAGAGGCTAAATGTTACTTTTACTTTCTTTTTTAAGTTTAGCCAACGTGCTTTTAGTATTTTGTAAGGTACTTACGCTTTGGTTAGTTCTTTAACCATGTCAATGTCTTACTCGACAAACAAGTTTAAAAGAGTCAAAACTTTGATCTTCAAATACGTTTCACTATCGCTCCATCGCATAATAACTGTTGCAATTTCATCAAAAAGTTGTCCCATTAGGATCTTGCCTTTTCATTTAAAGCAAGCTTTCCACATATATTCAAACAACGATTTTAAAATTTATGGGACCCACTTAAGTTCAAGATATACTTGAAACAATCAATTCAATCACCTTCAGAAGCTTGGTCTGTCTCAATATGCCTTTTGTTATATTTATGAGTTTATCTCACTTATTAAGTTACTAATTTTTTTTTTTTTTTGGCACTGATCATGCTTTAGGTAAACAATATTGACGCTGAAGAAAGACTTACAGTTGCAGATGCTTTGGTATATGCTTGCAACCAAGGAGTGGATAAAGTACACTTACATGCCTTTACTTTTGCATCTCTTTGGAAAACACCATTTTTATGGGTTTTATTCTCTCATCAGTTGTCCATGTATTTCGTTTTCTGGAACGAGTACCTAAAACGCACGAGATATATGATACACAAATTTAAAACCTTTGAATAAGTCATGACACTAAAATTTTAGGGTTCACTTTGGATTTTGATATGTGTTTTTAATCATTTGCAGATCGTTGATTTGGCCACATTGACTGGGGCTTGTTTGTTGCTCTTGGGCCCTCTATTGCTGGTATGTAATTTATAAATCTTATTTGTCCTGTATTCTTTGAGAACCACCTCCGATCCAATAGATTTTTTGGCTTCTTTTCAATTTGAAATTCATAAAATGTTCTTAACATGGAGATTCGTTGTGAAGATCCTTGCACTGGCTTATTCTTGATATAAAAAATCAGGTGTTTTTACACCCAGTGATGACCTGGCAAATGAGGTATTTGCAGCTTCAGAGGTTAGTGGGGAAAAACTTTGGTGGATGCCCCTGGAGGAAAGTTATTGGGAGTCCATGAAATCTGGATTGGCTGATATGGTGAACACCGATGGTCGCCAAGGTGGTTCCATCACTGCAGCTCTTTCCTTGAAGCAGGTATAGCTTCCTCCGCACCCCTTATTCCATGCTGAAGATTAAGTTTGTTTTACGTTTTAAGCTTTTTACATACAATTTGAAAAAGAACTATGGAATTGCAATTCTCGAACAAGCAATCGAAAAGATTCTGGAGCATCCTCCATTTTAGTTGTTACGATAATTGCCTAAGTTGTAGTTTTGAACAATTCTTATAGCAAGTCGATTTCAAATCTAGAATATTGGCTATTCCGAAAAGAATTTCAAAATTTAACCAATGGGCTTCTTTTTCTGATGGCAAAAAATAATAAAATAAAAAAATCTTGTTATGTTCCTTTTAATCAGAGGAAATCACTTGATTGAATATGGAAAAATTGGGTGCTGCCATGTAGCTTAATATCAGCTATGTTCATGAGTTGAAGATGCATGGGTCATTAGTGGGAGTTTAGTTTGTGCATGGGCGTGGGTTACTTAAGTGTCGCAACAACTGATACTCATTTGGAGATGTTTGCAAATTTGACCAATTGAGGCAGGTGATTTTTTTAGTTGGCAAACTAACACTCCAAATGGTGAAAGAATCGCCCCCTCTCCATGTCTACTGGATCTGTTCTTGGGGATAAGGAAATTTTTTATGGATCATTGGACATTTTAGTTCATCTGAAGGTCTAGATATGATTGCATAGATTCTCTTCTTGTCTTTCCTTAAATTACATTTTTCCCTTCCCCTAGTTTTCTACTAAATTCTGCATTTTTATTTCATGAATTTGAACCTCTGCACTTCATGAAAACAGATTTTCTTCCGAATTTCTTAGAAAA